GCGTGTGCCGCGCTGTTGGGGCGGGGTGTTCCTGCGGTACTCACAGGGCTTACTCCTCTGCCGTTTTCAGAGTACGTGGAAAAGCCACTGAAGCTGGTGCTGAAAGTGGGAGGAAGTGAAGTTGCTGAGCTGTCTACTGGGAACGCAGGACTTGATCCGAGCCTCTACGAAGACAAGTCTGAACATGAGAAACACAAGGACAGAAAAAGGAAAAAGAGAAAGAAAGGAGAAAAACAAGTTCCTGGAGAGGAAAAGGAGAAAAGGAAGAGAAAGGTTAAGGTACGTATTGATGCTAGTGCCTTTTAGCAAAAAAACTGCCTCGGCTTTTTCACTAGGCTTTACATCAAAAGGTGAGCAGATATGACTGTAACTTGAATCCTTAAACTGGAATAAATTCAAACTCAGTATGTTCGTTTTGCCGATTCCTTTTCTCCAGATACTTCTATTAGAAAAAGGTGAGTAAAGTCATCCGAAGTTTCTCATATTTCAAAAAATTTGTTGCATATAGAAGGACAGCAAATTAAAAGGGGAAGAGTGGGGAGAAATCTGTGTCTAAATAAATTCATTTATATAAAACAGAATTAAGACTTTACAAGTTGTTAATTAAAAGAAATATATGTATATATATTTCCTTCTCGGGGTTCTTCACGTGATAAGTAATCATGACATTTATTCGAAGCATTAGGGGTACCTCTCATTTTAAACTTCCTGACTATTTCTTATTAATTCTCCCAAAACCTTCAAAAATCACGTTAGGGGCTTCACTGGAGACAATCCTCTGTGCAGAGAATACTGCAGTTGTTACTGTCATGCTGTAAGTGGCTGTCTGTCACATTTTCTAAAAAATAACTTGATACATTGCATTGTGTAACCGAATTACTTTATTGTCCAGCAGATGGAGACAGCACATAAAGAATACAGGGTTTTCAAAGACCGACAGCCTTACAAACTTCTTATATTGTTTTAAACTATGCGGGGTTGCTTTGGAAAAATCTAGAGAGCGTTATGTACAGTAATGATGCTGGTTTTACAGATTCTCTAAGTTTCTATAACAGTCTTTCTCTTTCTAGGAGGATAAAAAGAAACGCGATCGAGATGCGGACAGTGAGGGAGAACAGGAGGTGAAATGTCAGACCCCCATCAGATTGGAATTGCCACCAGAGAAACCACTGACAAGTACTTTATCAAAGCAGGAAGGTAGCAAAACTAGAAAGAAATTTCTTTTGCTAATTCCAGTTTTCTTTAATTGACTCACATTTCTCTGTTCTTTCTATGGCAAGTGACGACCTTTTTTTGCCACCTTGGTGTTTTTCCCCATCTCATATAAAAATTTGAAATTATGTTACTGTATACTCCCTTTGCAGGATGGTACCTGTGGCAGAGCAAGTAGAATGTTAAGTAAGAAACGTAGATCCCTTATACATGTTGTGGGTTTTGCCACTCTATTCTTTTAATTCATGATGAGTTGCATCAGTTTTGTTTAGTTGACTTCTAATGTCTTGGAAGTTGAGTACCTCTTGCAGTCAGTTTTGTCTCACACCCTTTCTCTCCACATTTCTTTTTGGTCTAGAGGTGGAGCAGACACCGCTTCAGGAAGCTCTGAATCAGCTCATGAGACAGCTGCAGAGGTAAGTGTCTGTGCTGCAGGCTTTCAGAGCTGTGAAATTAAAATAACAAAGGGATGAGGCACATTAAAAGCTGAGTGAAAATATTATTGCTAACATCATAAGAATTTGGGTACTAGTTTAAGAATGCATGCTTACAGCTTCTCCTCATCTTAGGCTTCTGGTGAACACCTCCCATTCAAAGTACTTCTCAAAAACTTTCAAAAGTAGGACTGTTTTCCAATAATGTGATGCTTTCTTAAATGCCCTTTTCCAGAGAGACACAAGGTTTTGGAATGAACTTGCCAAAACTTCATTTACCTTGAGTTCTTCCATTTTTGGCATTGTTCACTATAAAAAGAAGTACGCACTTGAAAGCTTAGACCACATTGTCTTACTGTCTCATTAACCAACTGTCTTTTGATTAAAACAATCAAATTTGTAGAATTTTGAGTTCTTTCCCATGGTCTGTGGTTTAAGATATTCTTTCTTGACTTGAAGAATTAAGAATATCTGTATGTCTTGTATGAGAGTGGTTGAAAGATCGTTACCTGCCTCACCAGATAAGCTTGAAACTTTGTTGGCAAGTTTTCTCTTAACCTCAAATTGTCAAGACCTTGGTGTCAGTTCCAAGAAACGACCAACCAGCCATCAAAACGGGCGTGTTTGGCGTGGCTGCCTTTCCCTGCGTACAGAAAGAAGCAGCCACCTTGGGTTTTGCATCCCGTCTCTCAGCTGGAAGCTACCGCACACATGTTCCGTGGGTGTTGCAGAGTACCCGCGCTGCGTGATTTTGCGGCCTGTGGAGGAAAAGGCTTTTCGCTGTTCTGTGGCAGCTTGGAGTAGGCATCCGTCAGTCATAAGTAAGCCTCGGGAAAAAGGGCTGAAACGCCAGGGGTTTCAGCAGTGGGCACGGTATCAGCACTGCCGCAGGAGGCCACTGTCCTGCCCTTCTGGAGGAGAGGCTCTTGCCAGCTCGTCAGCTAAGCCTGATCCTGAAGAGGAAATACCAACCAACTGTATTTGATTTTAATGCTGTTCAAAGCACCCAGGGACATCAGTGTATGTCAGAGAGCACTGAAAGCATTAGAACATTTTAACGTGTAAAACTATTAACATTACGTGACCCGAAAATTAACATAATCTTAAACACATGCTTTCTGTCACAACTCCAGCAGCAAGCTTTCCCTTCTGTTAATTGCCGAGTAAGCGATGAATGACGAGTGTACATTCTTAGGATATTTGTTCCCTTTATTTGTCAGGGATCTAATTATTATAAAACCACTTTTGGAAAAGCCAGAAGCTAAACAAAAGGGTGTGGAATTTTTTTTTTTTTTTTTTTTTTAATCAGGTACACAAGTGGTTACCAGAATGTAAAACTGTCATTTAAAATAAGGTTTTTGGTATATAGGTTTGTTAATGGGATCTTCCCAACCTTCAAAAGTGGAAGATGATGCTGACACAAGCCATGCCTGGCTTTATGGTTTTGATTCCTTTTCAGCTTAGTCCTTTCCTTTCTACTTAATTCCGAGCTCAATATGTTCTTTGTTACAAGTTGAAACATAAAAAAACTGTCTTTTTATTTCTTAACAGAAAAGATCCAAGTTCTTTCTTTTCATTTCCTGTGACTGACTTCATTGCCCCTGGCTATTCCATGATCATTAAAAACCCAATGGATTTTAGTACCATGAAGGAGAAGATAAAGAACAATGGGTACCAGTCCATAGAAGAATTAAAGGTAATTCTGTGAACTTCCCTTTGACCACGGAGATGTGTTATGCTCAGGTATGCTTGACTTCAGCTCTGGTCTTTCATGCAAATACGAAGATACCAAAAGAGCCAGTACTTCTGCCTGAAGAAACGTTTCTTTTTGAATTTTTGTGAGCAGTAAGTTGTGGAGGTGAAAGAGAAAACACTTGTGGTTTGTAACTGCATCGCAAAGACGTGGGTGGTTTCAGCCGGATTAGTGTCCTTCAGCGCGTCGTTTTGGATCTTTAAGAAGGACAATATTAGCATTTCTGCCAGACTGCTTTTTTTTTATTTTTAAATATATTACCTCTCACAAAACCCCAGAGAGTGTGGTGAATTCACTGGCCTTGCCTGCCTGTTACTCCGTTGTCGTTTGCCTCCTGTCACCTCTGTGCTGGTCAGGCTTACCTGGTCACGCAGACCCGCGAAGGCAAGGGGGCTCCGTCCTGGCTTAACCCTGCGCGGTGCGTCCGGTGCATTCGGGGGCTTGTTTGGAAGGCCCCTACGCTTCAAAGGGTGGAGGGGCTCGTTTTGTTTTCTTCAGCAGAAGCATTCTCTATTCTTTACTGGGCTAGGTGACGACCCGAGACGTGCAATTTGTGCGCGGGTAACAGCTGAACTTAGGCAGATGTTAGTCAACAGTATTGGTTGTGGTTTCTTCTTCAGAGCTCCAAAACGTAAGGAAAATATTCCCTGTTCATTCAGCTGTTTCTGGTTAGTTTTTCATTTTGACCTTTTGTCTCTGTGAAGAGCTGAGAATGGGATAAAACATACCTACCTGGAGAGGCTCTGCCGTGCATTCAGAAGTGAAGTTCCTAGCTCAGTCGTTGAAGACACGGGCCTTAAACGAGCACACATTGCTGCGTTGTAACTAAACTTTGACATATTCCATACAAGGATTTAACCTTGAATTGCAGTTTTTCTGGTTTTAAAGTTAGCTTTGTTGCCTTGTTTACATTGCTGCAGTGTGTTTTTCTTCTCGTGACTGCTGGTTGGCGAGGGAAGTGGATAACTTTAGCAAAGAGGACTTCCATTAAAACTTGAAAAACTACTACCCATTCTGAACACTTCAGAAGACTTGGGGTGCTAGTCCTGAGACTTGAATCTCATTTACATACATACTTCTGTATAAATCTTTAACTGAATAGATTTCTTAAATTCATTAATTACAAATGTTCTGTACAGGATAACTTCAAACTGATGTGTACTAACGCAATGATTTACAACAAACCAGACACCATTTACTACAAAGCTGCAAAAAAACTGCTGCACTCGGGGATGAAGATACTTAGTCAGGTAATAGGAAATACTGAACAAAATACTAAAAAATACGCTTCTTCCTCTTTGACCCCTCTTTCATTCCTCTTTTCTTACAAGGGTCTCATAAAAATGAATAAAGCCTTGCTTAACATTTGTCAAATGCTTGCAAGTAGAATTTAAATAGCCCATTGTGTTAAGGCTCATGCTTTTGTACTGCTACCAGATCAGTTACTGCAGAGAGATTTGCATTTAATATTTCGCTTTCTAAACTGCCCTTCCGCTTGCTAGTGTAAGATGAACTAAAGTAATCCTCTGTGGGTAGGTTAGGGAAGGATTCACTGAAGTAGCAAATAAAACAATTCCTGTGTCTCTTAGGAGAGAATTCAGAGCCTGAAACAAAGCATAGAGTTCATGGCTGACCTGCAGAAGACAAGGAAGCAGAAGGACAAGATGGAACTGCAGCAAACTGGGGAATGTGAAAACAGTCCTGGGAAAGACAAAGGAGAACCTGTGGCTGGCGACACCAAAACGTTCAAAACACCTAGCAAGGAACACAAAAGGTGACGCATTATCTCCGTAACGATTCTGGGGTACGCCCTTTAAATGCTGCTGAAACAAAATGACTTTTAGGGACCAGTGGATGTGGGTTTCTCTCTGGTACTGCTTAGACATTGAACTTCCTTGTCTCAGGGGAGCAGCATTGATGTAAAGCATCCCCATAGACTAAAACCAAGGAAGTTTAGAATCTTTTATGCTACCACCATTGTTTTGTGTCGGTAACCCTGTCCTGCTCATCAACTCCATTCCTTCAGTTACTTTCTGTTGGAGTGTGTTTCACAGAAGTAGTACTGGTTTGGAGAAAGCTTGATTTTGTAAACATTTTGGTACAAATAAGGGCATAGGCAATCTCAAGCACCTTTTTTTTGGTGAGTAGTTGCTTTTGAAACAGATAAATGTACAGCTACAGAAATGCTTCCTGAAATAGCTTTTAATACCTAGAAAGACCCCTTGTAATGATCTGAAGTAGTAGTGACTTCATTTTCACAGATGTGAAAATACAGATACCTAGATTCAGAGCACCTAATGCTTTACTTTACCAAAAATATCCTTGTTCGTTTTGAGGGAGTGTTGGCATCAAATTGGGGAACGTGCTAAACGAGGACATGGGTATGGCTGAGTAGGCTGAACACAGACACCTGTACACTTACTAACACGAACAAGCATTTGCTGATAGACATCTGTCACATATTTTCCCCAACTTTGTTAAATACAGCCGTAGTAAATGGCTTTTTTTGGTTAGTTGTTTTGCCTTGAAAAACAGTTTGCATAACTGGCAAAACCAATTTCTTCACCATATCTTCTTGTGATATTTAGCCTTCTTAAATCTGCCTCTTAAAGCTAGTAACTACGCTGTGTGGGTTTTATTGACAGGAAGGACAAAGATGTACTTGAAGACAAAGTCCGAAGCAATACCTTGGAAAGGGAGCAGGAGCAGATCGATCGTATCGTTAGAGAGTCGGGAGGGAAGTTAACAAGACGACTTGCAAACAGCCAGGTAGATGTTGGCGTACCTGGTAACTCCTTTCACTTTTTCATAACCCAGGCTCACCGAGTGTCCTCTGCCAGTTGAAACTCAAGGTTTGCTTGTGCTACAGGTCACACCTGACTGATGGGCTGCGTGACACTGTAAGGTTAAAGAAAAGTGCTGCCAGGTGAATGCGTGCTGGATTTCATCAGCACAGCAAGCTCAGCGTTTTCAGAAGTTTTAGCTAAAGTAGTAGAAAAGGATGACTAGTAGGAACCTCAGGAAAATAGTTCAAACCTGACCTGCAAACCCCCCTGTAGTTCTGAAACAGCCACGTATCTGATCAGGGGTTCAGTGTTACAGGTGAAGGAACTCAGTTCAGTAATACTGGGCTCATTTAGTTTTCTGCATGCGTTATGTATTTTATCCTTAGCCTCTGCAGAATTGTTAATATTTATCATAACTTCTTAATTCCTTGTGCCTACACCCATAATAGTTGTCTAGTGAAAATAAAACCGTCAGAGCAGCGCTCCCTTCTGAGCCCTACTGATCTTTGCAAATCCCTGTCTAACTTCTATAGACAGGACAGTTTCCTTAGACATTTTCAGTAGTTTAAGGACCACGAATTTCAACTAATAAGTCAATTAAAATAGTCTGATCTTATTTCAGTGTGAATTCGAAAGAAGAAAACCAGACGGTACGACAACTCTGGGCCTCCTTAACCCAGTTGACCTTACTGCAGGAGGTAAGTTGGCATGGTTCAGGAAACACGCCGCTGTCACCTACCTGCTCTGCGGCTTTGCTGCTGGGGCAGGTCAGCAAACCCTGGTCAGGAAGCCGTTGCTGCTCTAAGGCGGGTGAAGGCAGGGATTTAAGAAGCTGCAGCTGAGGGAGCACGTAGATGGGGGCCAGTTGGGACTGCTGTGAGGAGCAGCTGGAGGGAGCCCTCAGCGGCTGTTGCTTCTCCTGTTAGCGTCAGCTGTTTGTGGGAGCTTCGAGAAGGCTTTTGCCATTGGAGAAAGGTCTGCCTGCCCTGTGCTTGCGCACATGACGCTCCCGAGCTCCCCTTAAGTCTGCTCCACATGCAGAGAGCAGTGGCTGCTGACCCAAAAGGTCAGCGATGTTCCAGAATTGGCCACTGGGAGCTGCGTGGCTCCCAGATCATTTTGTCACGTCAGTGCCGTCGGTGTAGTGCCACCAGCTAAAAGAGTGCAGGTGCGTGCGGTTACCTGCCAGCTCCTTACAGAGCTGAAGTGAGCAGACAGGCCCCAGCCTGAGAACCTGACCTCTCCCTTCCGCCTGCCGGTGCAGCAGGAAACCTCAGCGAGAGTAAACCGTGAGCTTTCAGGTTAAGAATCAGATCCTCTTCATGATCTGATCCCCCTCTGTTAGGGGAGGACAGGAAGGAGGAAGCCTGACCGTGAACACTTAACGTTTAGGTTCACTCTTCTGTACGTAACCAGTGTTCCCCCGTGGTCTGGATGCGTAAGGCTACACACAGCACGAAGCATTTGGCGAGGAAAACCCTTAGAGAGTTGTATCCTCTTTATTCTGAAGTTTCCAGCTACAAGTTACTAGAGTTTGGACATCTTCCTGTGTCCCTTAACTGCGCCTCGTTATTTCTGTGTTTGATGTACCCCGCTGCAGAACCAGGTTACTGCCCTGTAAAGCTGGGAATGACGGCAGGGAGACTTCAGTCGGGAGTCAATACGTTACAGGGCTTCAAAGAGGATAAAAGAAACAAGGTTACTCCAGGCAAGTGCTGATTTATTATTTGATTTTAAATATAAATCCTCCTCCTTACATAAACCAACCTGTTGATCTCATTCCTAGGCACAAGGCGTTTGGAACTCAGTTTCTTAATGATCAAGCACGTTGTTGCAGGTGTCTGTCACACAGCTAAGCAGCACACCGCAGTGTCTAGCTTACACTGCACGTGCAAAAGGGGAGGCGCATTTAATAAAACGTTTGTCGAAGAGGAGCTTTACCAGACAAAGGGGATTTTCTGTCTTTGAAAGAGCACAGGGGGAGCCTGAGAAGCTGCTGCCGGCACCAGGCTGAATTTTCATAGTGTCCTAAGGCACATACAGAACTGTTAATGAATCATCTGTAAACAGAAACGCATTTGATGTAGGTGTTACGGTGTGAACAGGTGGTATTCTGTGAAAGTTTGCCATCACCCTAAGAAATAGTCTCCTAAAAGTTTCTTTCTGGGGTTTGTTTTACAACCCCTTCCCACTTTTTTCTGATGACACGCATACCGGAGGGAGTCATTAACACTGCTGTTATCCATTAGTGACGTACCTGAATTACGGGCCCTACAGTTCCTACGCTCCGACGTACGATTCTACGTTTGCCAACATAAGCAAAGAAGATTCTGACCTGATCTATTCCACATACGGGGAGGACTCCAACCAAGGATCTTTCAGGTAAGCCACCAAGCAGGATGCCTGTTAGCGCTTTCGCCTACGGAAGCAGTTAGGTGCACCTCGCTGCAGGTCGGGCTGTGTCTGTGCTGTGCGTGATGTCACTGCTGTCTTCATAGCCCGCTGGGGCTGGTTTGTTGGCTTGTAAGGAATAAACCCTTCACCAAGAGAATTTGAAGTGAAATGAGCCAAGATTGAAGCATTTTAGTGCTGCTGATACATAGGAACACACAGTCTGAAAATTAAGTCTATTTAGGACTAACTCTGAAGGACTCGCATTCAAAGCCAGAAAAAGTTGCGTGTCACAGACGTTTATCCAAACTGGATTTTTGTGATGTTAATGACCTTCGTTACTGCCTTGAGTGCACCACACAAATACTGACCAAACTACTGCGGTCACAGTGGGAGAGCCGAGTCCAGAGGGAGCGAGTCTCAATTTCATTCTTAACTAGTGTGCATACCACTTGGTTTTCTTGTTACTTACTACAGAAAAAGTAACTAATTCTCATTGGTTTTATTGTTCTTGATGGTGCAAACTTCAGAGTTAGTCCTTTTGGTTTCTGAGGATCTCAAAATAGAGCACACAGTGGTATAAATTCATACGAAACGTGGGGATACATAAGTACAGCGCAGATGTAAAGTGCAAGTTTGCTTCTCGTTTGATGCAGCTGCTCGAGTATCTTCATTTTCCTGGTTTTTCAGGTTTTGTTAGGAATCTGAGTGGATTCCTCAGCTACAACAGGTGTAGGTAATTAAACAAAAGCGAGCCACATAGATCAAATTCCGTGCTCCCTTTTCTGTGCTTTCTGTACGTGTTGGTTTGACTTTACATAACAAATCCTTTTTTTCCACCGAACGTCTGACACAGAAGCGGTTACCTGAACTGTCTCTTGATCTTGCAGTATTCATGATTTTCTGCTGAAATCACAAGATTATCCTTTCTTAATGGCGGATGGTTTGCTTGATGTCCTGACTAAAGGAGGACATTCCAGAGCTCTCCGAGAACTAGAAACGGTAAGAGTGGATTTGTTGGGCTGTGGCTTTTCTCTAAAAGCACGCGAGCCCTGATAGTAGAGAAGGGTGATACTGTGATTCTGTTGCCGGGCTCCCTGTTAATTGGTAAAATCTGAAGTGAGGACTGACCTTTGTCTCCAGCGGATGGGTTTTCTGGAAAAGGATTATTCTGGCTTGTTAATGAGTGAAACATGAAAATCAGCAAAGCGTTGTAGACAGCCAGCCACGCATTCTTTCTCTTTTTACTCTCCCACGCCCATTAGCACTAGCTCCTCCTCTGCATAGCAGCATGCAGTTGTTCAGAAATGAGGTGGTCGTGGAGGGGTTTTCTCGTTCCCGGGAGAACTTTATCATGTTGCTAGCAGCCACTCTTTTGTTCCGGAGAATTAGTGACTAGTTTTGCCCTTTACTTAGTGCAGTACTTTTAAACTCAAGTCTGAGCTGTGTCATAATACTGAACAGCTGATTTGATGATCTACACTTAACTGGCAATCCTAGATTAGTTGAGAACCTCCACAGACAGTTCCTGTTAACCAAAAGCCTTGATGTGGGTTCACATCAGCGCAAACTATTGAAATAAAGATTGTAGCCTTGTACTGTGGGTCAGATGTTGGCTAAATAAGTACTGGAAATTCTTTGTGGATCAAAGGTCAGCCGTTAGCCCCAGCTCAGACCTTCGCTTAGCATTACTCCTTGCTGCCCTGAGGAGAAGGACTTGGG